CCTAGTCCTAATGTACATAATGGTCTGTTTTTAACCAGACCAGATAGGGGATTAATCGAGATACACGTAAGTTGATCCAACACCGTTGACAATTGAACCCAAAAAAGAGTAGTGACAATAAATAGATCTATTGTCAAAATTGTTTTTGGTGTATTAGTTTTTTCTGTTAGTTGGGCCAACCATGTCTCGTAGGATCAATGACATTATGGGATCTTATATGTCCAAATGGAAAGGGTTTATCTTATGCAGCAGTTAAAAGCACATAAAGTAAGTTGTATATGACCAATGGTTTGTTGAAGGCATAGCAGTGGTATTTGGAAAAGAATGTACAATTAGGATCTTATTTCACTTTTTTTAGGGAAAAATTGTCCTAATTATACATCTTTTAGGCTCATAATTATGACTCACGAGTTGAACTCGAGAATTTAGATCTTCCCGTCCAAAATTTAAACTAACATTGCTCCAAGCTAGAGCCTAAGCCAGAAAAATTAGCCTAAGGTTAACCTGATCAATGTTAAGATTAAGGTAACTTACAACACTTTATATATTCATGGCTCGATTAAAATTTGACCTTTTTCTTTTTTGTTTTTTGTGAAAATTGGGGCTAAATTCTCCTGGATGGACTTATAATTGAAATTGAAATTGAAATTTATATTTTCTCTCTCTCGCGTGCGTGCGCGCATTAGAAGAAGATCATCACTCTAGTACAATAAATATTTCTCTTTAGATGTCATTTCTCCCTCCCATAACATTAAAATCAGTAGGATTTGAAACATCATCAACAACTACCATATCTTCTACTGCGTTGTCGTCATTATAAACTTCTATGTTATTGGTTTTTAGAAAAAAAAATGTTGAAAAATTTGCTCAATGTGTTGTTAGTTTGATCTCTAATTTTATTTTTATTTTTTGATAAATAATCCCCCAATTTTTTTAAAGTTTCATGTTATTATGTTTTTTGTCGACTATGTTACTATTTTTTTCATGTTACTATTTTTTATTGAGCATGTTTTTACTTTTTTAGTGTTACTTTTTTAGATTTTGAAAACTTGAAGGCTTGTTCCTCTGATTATGGGTTTGAATGCTACTATTTGTGCTTTCAATTTTGTTCAATATTTCATTTTACCATTTTTTTTTGTTAAGCATGTTACTGTTTTTGTTAAGTATGTTACTATTTTTATTGAACATGTTACTATTTTTATTTTTTAAAAATATTAATATTGAATGCTACTATTTTTTTTATATTTAAATATTATTATTTTTTTGTGTTTAAATAGTATTATTTTTTATGTTTAAATGATAATTTTTTTTATTTTTAATGTTAATATTTTTGTTAAGTGATAGTCTTAACCTAAATATAGATATACATAGATATAAGAGACAGAAAATTTTAATACTAATCAAACTCTTAAAATTTAGGAGTTTTTAATTTTTAATTTTTAATTTTACTTCAATTCTAAAGAAAAGAGATAATTTGTTAAAATTGACAAAAAATAAATTTTATAATAAATAAGTTTCTTTGGCGAACTTAAATTCGTATAGGAATCGGCCTTCAAACTTTTCTTATTTTTTTATTTTTAATTTTTTATACAAAACGCAAGTTGTTGGCCCAAAGGCCAAGCCTTTGGCCCAAGAGATGGGGCCCGGACCTAGGCCTGAGAGAGTTCCCGCCAAGTTTTGTATAACAGTTGTACCCATCAACAGTATCACCACTATCCATCGAAGCAAATGATTTGCAGAGCCATAACAACCTATGCACCTCGTGACCGAAATTTCTTTTTAGATCTCGTCAAGAAGGCGACAATTCTCTCTCACCTTAACCAAACACACGCCCAAATCATCCTCAATGGTCTTCACAACGACCTCATAACGATTACGAAACTGACCCACAAGCACTCGGACCTCAAAGCTATAGATCAAGCCAGCCTTCTCTGTTCGACACTCACAAAACCTGACCTTTTCCTTTACAATGTCCTCGTCAGAGGTTTTTCTCACAACAACTCACCCCTTAAAGCTCTCTCTTTATACCACCATATACGTGAAAACACCACACTTAAACCCGATAATTTTACATATGCGTTCATTATATCGGCTTTTTCTTCGTTTGGGTCTGAAAAAGTTGGGATTGTGCTTCATGGGCATGTAATAGTTGACGGGTATGGCTCAGATTTGTTTGTTGGGTCTGCTTTGGTGGACATGTATTTTAGTTTTTCTAAGGTTGGCCATGCGTATAAGGTGTTTGAAGGAATTTCTGAGCCGGACAGGGTTCTTTGGAATACAATGATTTCTGGGTTGGTAAGGAATTGTTGTTTTGAGGAGTCGATTCTGGTCTTCCAAGATATGGTTGTTAGAGGGGTCAAATTTGATTCGACTGCATTGGCTGCAGTGCTTCCTGCTGTAGCTGAGTTGCAAGAATTGAGAGTGGGGATGATGGTTCAATGCTTGGCTGTGAAGATTGGATGTCATTATCATGATTATGTTCTTACGGGTTTGATTTCTTTTTATGCGAAATGTGGGGAGATATCAACTGCTAAGTTGTTGTTTGGTCAGATTGGGAAACCGGATTTAATATCATGTAATGCTATGATTGCTGGGTTTTCTTGTAATAATGAGACAGATTCTTCAGTGAGGCTCTTTAAAGGATTACTTGTTTTAGGGGAGAAAGTTAATTCAAGTACCATTGTAGGTTTGGTTCCTGTGTCTTCCCCTTTTGGCCATTTAGATCTTACGCTCTCAATCCATAGTTTTTGTTTGAAATCTGGTATCGTGTTGAATCCTTCTGTTTCTACAGCGTTGACTACTGTATACAGTAGGCTGAATGAAATTGAATCTGCAACACAGCTTTTCTATGAATCCCCAGAGAAAAGCTTGGCATCTTGGAATGCAATGATATCAGGCTATGCCCAAAATGGGCAAACAGAGTTAGCAATATCTCTTTTCCGGGAAATGCAAATGTTTGAAATCCGTCCAAATCCTGTCACAATCACAAGTATTCTTTCAGCATGTGCTCAGCTTGGAGCTCTAACTCTAGGTAAATGGGTCCATGACTTGATAAACCAAGAGAGTTTCGAGTCCAACATTTATGTGGCAACTGCTTTGATTGACATGTATGCCAAGTGTGGAAGCATTTGTGAGGCTCGTCGATTATTTGACATCATGCCGGAGAAGAATGTGGTGACCTGGAATGCCATGATTTCTGGTTATGGCCTACATGGACTTGGGCATGAAGCACTAAAGCTTTTCACTGAGATGGTGAACTCTAGGATTGCCCCAACGGGGGTTACTTTCGTTTCCATATTATATGCTTGCAGTCATGCTGGCTTGGTGCGAGAAGGAGAGGAACTTTTCCATTCGATGGTCCATGATCATGGCTTTGAGCCCTTGGCCGAGCATTATGCCTGCATGGTTGACCTCCTTGGTCGTGCTGGAAAATTACAGAAGGCTATGAAATTCATAAAAGGAATGCCTGTTGAGCCAGGTCCTGCTGTGTGGGGCACATTACTTGGTGCTTGTATGATTCACAAGGACACAAACCTAGCACGCTTGGCTTCTGATAAGTTGTTCCAATTGGACCCTGAAAATGTAGGATACTATGTCCTTCTATCTAACATTTACTCTGCAGATCAAAATTATCCTCAGGCTGCTTCAGTTCGCCAAGTGGTTAAAAAGAGAAATCTGGCAAAGACCCCTGGGTGCACACTGATTGAGGTTCATGGGAGCCCACATGTTTTTACATCCAGTGACCAATCTCACCCACAAGCAGAGGCAATCTATGCAATGCTGGAAAAGGTGATGGAAAAGATGAGGGGAGCTGGATTTCAGACAGAGACTATGACAGCATTGCATGATGTGGAGGAAGAAGAGAAGGAGCTAATGGTGAAGGTTCATAGTGAGAAGTTGGCCATTGCTTTCGGTCTTATAAATTCTAAACCAGGAACCGAGATCAGGATCATCAAAAACCTTCGAGTTTGTTTAGACTGCCATAATTTTACTAAATTCGTTTCCAAGATCACAGAAAGAGTTATTGTTGTGAGAGATGCAAATAGGTTTCATCATTTTAAAGATGGTATGTGTTCTTGCAGAGACTATTGGTGAAAAGTCTGCCTCCTGCATGATGAAGGTTGCAGCATCGGACATACAATCAATTATACCTTCTGATGCGTCAATAATTAAATTGGGGTATCCTCGTCTAAAGATGCATAAGATTTTTAGACATCCTTGTGAGAATTGACTGAAACAAGATGTGAATAAAGTACAGTTGTTGCTACTGCTGTTGAGAAATCCTGCAACTGTGAAAATTTAGCTCTTGTTTCCGCGTACTGAAACAAATAAAATACATTAAACCCCAACTGAAACCCTTACCTGATCCTAAATATTGGTTAGTAAAAATTGTTTTATTTCTATCTTCAGATTTGATATCATTGCCTACTTTTAATCAAAACCAGAACCATGTCCGTCCCCTCTTTTCTTTCCTTCCTTTCTCTTAAAAGACACAGAAACGGGCTGGTATTTTATGCTTTTCTGTTAGAGGATAGATCAGTTAGGCGTACGTCATCTTGAATGACCTGAAGTTTGCTCGATTTCCCAGAAAATTGTCCCTATTTGGAGTATATATCCAGCTGATGACAAGAAGGCCTGTAGTGGAGGATGAGGAAGGCATATTGTCTTCAGCAAACAAGCTCATCAGGGGACGGGTATAATCTTTTCAGCAAAACAATCTCATGAGGTACAAATACTCTCACTTGAAACTGCTTAGTTTGGCCATTGGCATGACGGTTTTTAAAATAAATCGTAGAAAAGGAATGCCCAATTTAATTTGCTGTTCTGGTGGTTGTATTTGGCCATTAGTTACTACGTTATGTTCTGAGTAATTTGTAGTTTGAGATGATATGTTTAATCCGTGGTCTATTGAGCTAAATGCCCTTCCCATGCTGTATTCATTAGAAAACAATCCACTTCGTATTCCAGGAAATTTATCTGTGTTGTTTTGAAAGCCTTAGAAAAAAAAAGCACCAGAGTACAATAGGTTAGGCTAACAAAACTTTTCACCTTGGATTTATTCTTTCTTCCATCACTCCATTGGCCTATACAAAAATACCCACAAACTTTGCTGAAGAGCAGCTCTCAAAAGGAACACAAATAATATGCTTAGCAATTAATTCCGCATTGCTTGACATCAGGTCCCTTGGTTTTTAACACAAATGGGTCAATTCTGACCCAAAGCAAGGAGAAGATAGAAGCCAAAAGCACTGACCATATAACAACAATGGTGGGTGTCCTGTTCTGCCTCCCCATGAGACCTTTGAGGAATGGGTAGAGATGAACAATTACCCAAAAAGCAAAGAAGAGCTTTCCAAATAGTGGACCCCATGATTGGGACCCATTGTTTATGGCATCAGAGATTCCAGCCACAACCCCAACAAGATTGATGATCAAGAGAGTGGTTGGAGGGATTAGGAGTGTAGTCCATTTGAAAGCGTATAGTTCTGCAAAATCCTCATCATCTGATGCCTTGGATGTGACAGTAAAGTTGGTATCTATTCCAGCCAAAATCTTAAGAAGACCTTGTACAACAGCAAAGAGATGTGCAGACACGCCACCTATCACCCAAAATTGCTCATTTCTCCACCATTCCTCTATGCTTACTCCACTCCACCTCAGCTCAAGAATGCCCGTCGCAAAAATTGAAAGGAACAAAGCAATGAAGAAGAGACTTGCAAAGGTGCTTATCTGAATCAAAAAACGAATGAAGCTTAAGTCCAGTAGTAAGGAAAAAACACAACTGCGGAGCTACATATAAAGGGCTTTTGGAATGCAAGTGAAAATTTCAGCATCTACTTTGTTTGGCATAGTATTTTGGAATGATTTTTTTTATTTTGTAGGATTCAAACTTAGACAATTTTAGTGCATGTAGGGATTTGAAGTCAAAAATAAATCTCTTACAACTTATGCGATGATTCCAATTTTATGATGATTGCTTTTAGATGTGGCTTAGGGCCATAAAATGACATGGAAAGCAAATGGAGTAATGTTCAAGTGATGGCCATACATCCTCCAGTTGGAGTTTAGATGGAAGGGGCAAGGATTATGTAGTTACCTCTGGCATAATGAATTTTCCAGTGAGCAAGCAGATGGCAGGGAGGGTACAATAGGCAAGGAGAGGTATGGAGGTGAAGGGATAGACAGTTGTGTTAACATATGCCAACCGCTCGAGCCATTTGAGTTTTCCACCCTTGTAGCCATACCAGGCAGGGCTGTGACGACTGAAAAAGATCTCAACAGATCCTAGAGCCCAACGAAGCACCTGGTTGAGACGATCTGACAGATTAATAGGAGCAGACCCCTTGAATGCAGGCAACTCGGGCATACAGTATATGGACCTCCAACCACGGCAATGCATCTTAAAACCTGTGAGGATATCCTCTGTGATAGAGCCGTAGATCCATCCCAACTGCACAACCAACAACCATTATAAATATGAAGGTGAGTGGAGAAAAGCAATTTATGGTACTGTAGATGCTTATGGTTTGTAACATGGAATTCCACATGAGTGGGAAAACACGATGCCTTCTATTGTAGGAGACATTTTATATGTGTATTTCATCATTTTCCAACCATTCAGAACATT